TACTCTGGGTTAGAAGTACTCTGGGTTAGAAGTACTCTGGGTTAGAAGTACTCTGGGTTAGTACTACTCTGGGTTAGTACTGCTCTGGTTTAGTACTACTCTGGGTTAGAAGTACTCTGGGTTAGTACTACTCTGGGTTAGAAGTACTCTGGATTTAACGCAGTATTTTGGTGACACACATCCTTCCTCCGTTATAACATTTGTAATATCAGTGTGTGTGTGTGTGTGTGTGTGTGTGTGTGTGTCATCTTTAATCAACACTAATCAGTGACATCACAGGTCCAACATGAATTCTCCTGATTAGGGACCGACGCAGATCCTTTTATCCTCACGTCAAACGTCAAACGTCTTGATAATTAGTCACTTCCTGTTTAGTGATGAAGAGCTGCTGTGTCATGACGACAGACTGAGCCGCGTCAACGCTGACGGACTAAAGAGAAAACATGATAGAAACATGTCTGACAACTCACTGAAGCAGCAATGAAACTACAGTCAACTGGTGTCACATGGTCTGAAGCGTCCAATCAGAAGGTCACATAAAAACTCCTAGTAAACAGAGACTTTCACCTATAGCATTAGCATCAACTAAATGCTAACTCTAACGCTAAGATAGCCTAGCAATGCTAACGTTAGCGGTCAACGACAGGTCAGAGAAAGGGTTCATTTTTACTACAGCGGTTTTAGTTTCACGGCTGAGCAGCAGAAAACGAACTGAATCAGGACCGTGTCTGAGGAGAGTGAGTGACAAGAACTGACTCAGATATTACAACATTATTTAGAAAAAATAAATGTCTGTGAAGCTAAAGGTTAGCCAAGCTAACCGAATGTTAGCCCAGAAAATTCTTTAAAAAGGTGATTAAAACTAGTCGCTAATGCTAACGCTAATCTTTTAATTTTGAGTAAATGTTTAATCCATATGTGAGGACAGAATGTCTGACCGGGAGCCGGACCACAGAAGGTACCGAGGTCTCCCCCCTAAAACCTCCCCATCACCCGGGGTGTCACAGGCTCTGAGCTCATTCTCCTCCGGAACCTTTTTCAAATACGATGCACTTTGTCTTTCGGTGACAGGTGAAGCCGGGGATCTGGTCATCCGTGCCACGTATGCACCGCTGGAGCGCACCAATCCAGTCGCACCGCCCTCCTGTCCGCCTGCTGCTGCCGCCGCTGACGGGAGGAGAGGAGGAGGAGGAGGAGAGAGTGGAGCAGCGCAGCAGCCAGAACAGAGTCACTGCACCTGAGGGATGAGGCATCTGGAAGAAAAAAATGCTGAAACGATGAGAGCTGGTCACCAGTGAGAGTTGGAGGTGAACCGGAGGAAGGAGGAGAAGAGACGGAGGAGAAGAGGCGGAGGAGAAGAGGCGGAGGAGTTCATGCCGCTGCAGACATTTCCACGCTGCCTCAGCCGCCTGTGGAGGCTGTCTCTCGGCTTCGAGGACGGAACCAGAGTCGATCTGACAAAGAGAGAGAAACACCGACGGAGTCAACTTCTCCGAGCCCACGGACGGTGAGTGATTATTTCTAAATCTTTTCCATGTAGATCTGTGTAGTTGCTCAGGCGCAGACCCACGAGTTGATGTCGATGCTGGGGGACGGTAACCCACGCGGGCGCAGTCACTTCGGTCTCACCTGTGATCGCGTGCGTAGACGCGTGCGTTTTGTGTCCATGTGTTTGTTCCACGACCGCGCTCCGAGCCGCGGGGCCAGACCGACCGTGTCATAAGTTTGTACGGCGGCAGATCGAGTGACGGCGCGACGTGTGCGGAACCTGCGTGTTTGAACATGCATCGAGTCCCTGGAGGTTCCCGTTCCGTCTGTGTTCTCTTCACACCCCGTGAAGGAGCTCCTTTGGTCGGAGCAGCTCCAGTAGAACCAGTCACACACATTCATACTGTGACGTCAAAGTCTGGAATCAAGAACATCGGTTTGAACTAGAAGTTGTTGACGATGACACAGAGGTTTGATGATGACGAGTTCATCTGGGAAGAAACTTTGAAACCACGGCCACAAAACAGAGGAGTGACGGTTCAGTGGTGCAGTGGAGTGCTCACACTGACAGTCTGTCTGTGGGTCAACATACTGTGTGTATGTAAACTTCATTTATAGTATTTTTTTTTATAGTATCACCGCAGCTGGTTTTGAAGCCGTTCTGTCGTACGACAAACGACTCTGACATCGAACCACAGCGTTCGACTCAGTGTCCTTTTTCTGAAACTTTTCACTTCTGTGACTGTTAGCTCTTCAAATTCCTCTAATTCTATATTATTACATTATGTCCTATAATGTAACTCAGTTTTAGGCTGGCTCTCCAGATGCCACTTTAGCTGACTGATTAAAAACATCAACTTTAAACCTTTCCAAAAATTCTAAAGTAATCAGTAAAAAAAATTCTGACATAAAATCAGTTTTTTTTTCTTATTTGTGGAACGAAACAACCAGAGTTTATTTATTAATACAGGTGAGACGGTTCAGTGGTGCAGTGGAGTGCTCACACTGACAGTCTGTCTGTGGGTCAACATACTGTGTGTATGTAAACTTCATTTATAGTATTTTTTTTTATAGTATCACCGCAGCTGGTTTTGAAGCCGTTCTGTCGTACCACAAACGACTCTGACATCGAACCACAGCGTTCGACTCAGTGTCAGTGTTTGAGGGTTTGACAATCTGAGAACTGAGGTCCTTCCAGGACCTTCCAGGTCCTTCCAGGACCTTTGAGAGATCGACCAGTCATTCCAGGACTTTCCAAAACTCTGATTACATTTGAAATATTCAGAAATGATTAAAATCTTTGGGCCGTTACGTTGGCGTTCAACATTATTGGAAGAGCAGTAACACAGAGGGCAGCGTCAGTGGAGGGCGCTAGCTGCATGATAGAATGGAGTAGAAAGGGTCAAAGGTCAGATTTGAACAATTATGAATTCATAATTTTAGTTTTTTATTTTGAAAACGTGAGTCTAGTGAAAAACTGATGTGAAAAGTATTGCTTTATGATGATGATGTCATCATCTTCATCATCATCTTCATCATCATCATCTTCATGTTACTGTTGATAAGTACAGTGAGCAGAGCTGCTCTGATTGGTCCAGCAGGGGCCACTCTGTCATTGTTTTGAGTGGTTTTGACCTGACCTGAGGTGTGAAGTGTTTCCTGTCTCTAACAGCTGGAACCGTAATGAATGTTGTAGACGGTAATCAGATCTTCATTTCTTATTGCATTAGTTAAAAAAAAAAGGGTTAACCTTAGTGAGCAGTTAGCCTCAGCCAGGTCAAAGGTCAAAGATATCAAGAGTGTAACTTAAAGAAATCAACATTTTCCAAGAAACATCAATAAAAGATTCAAATGAAATTTTGTAAAAAATAAAAAAAAAAGAAAAAGTGAAAGTTCAAACTGGGCTGAAAATATTGCTTCCTGAAATGAAAAAAAAAAGTAGCCAATAATTTAAAAAGTGCATTAATTTAGTAAAAATCTAAAAGATAACAGTTAGCTAGAAAAGCTAAAACTTCAAATTATTTTTTTTTGTATTTTTTCAGAAACATTTTAAATGAAAAGGTCTAAAAATGAACTGTCAAAAACAGTTTGCCAAGAAAAATGTTTTAAATTAGTGGAAGTTTGTAGGAATAGCTAAAAGTTAGCCTAAAGGTACTGAGACTTTCTTACTAATTACTTTACTAATCCTTCTCATGCTAACTATAATTACTACTAACTATAATTACTACTAACTATAATTACTACTAACTATAATTACTACTAACTATAATTACTACTAACTATAATTACTACTAACCATAATTACTATTAACTATAATTACTACTAACTATAATTACTACTAACTATAATTACTACTAACCATAATTACTACTAACTATAATTACTACTAACCATAATTACTTCACTTCACCATTTTTTTCCCAGTTTTTTTCCCAGTCCTGCCGTCAGTGACAGTTTGTTTCTGTTAATTGTTGCCTCGTTAGCTCCACACACACACGAGTAAAAAAACTAAACTAAACTAACGATCTCCGTTTGGCCCTTTAACATCCTAATGAGTTGATGACATCATCAGCCGGTGTCCTGCGGTGCCAGTGACAGCGCGGTGGCTCATGTGAGCGGCTCATTACAGGTGCAGCAGCCTGGGTTTACCTCGGGTCACCGAGGGGCGAGGCCCCACCGTGAGCCGCAGCTTGGGACCGGAGCGGTCGGTGAAACCGCTGTTAATTGGAGGGAATTCATTGTCCAATGACAGAGAGTTATTTTTATTGATGCACCTGGTGGTCGGCCGTGGAAATGAAATGGAACCTTAAATAAAATAGAAGTTATTTTATTTGTGTGGTTCGAGCCACAGTACCAGGACTCCAACCAGCCAATCAGACGCAATCAGACGCCAATCAGACGCCGAGCATTAAATCATCACGGACTGCTGAGATCTGTGGATCAGAACTGAAACTAGTCTGAGAACCGACGAACGGACGCTGAGTTAAATGAATAAAAAATATCTATTATTTAATTTATTTATAAATAATAACTAAAGATTCATGTTCATACGTTGAGCTGCAGTAAAACTAAGACCTGACAAATTCCAGCCGCCACCGTAGAAACAGCGACCGTTTATTTTTAGGCGGAGGAAACGACGCGATGAGCAGCGTTTCCACCTTCAGTTCAACTGTTGGCGTCATTTTTCTTTTTCTTCTTTGACCCACTGTGTTCAGACTCTAATCCTCCGAGGTTTGAATGGATTTACATGACGACTTATTTCCCGCTCCTGGACACGTTACTGCAGGGAGACGGAGGAAATCTGTCCCGCAGATACACAACGTGTAATTCCTTCTTAAATCCTAATCTGGAAAGCGTTTGTCGGAGCTTCTGTCTTGGTGCAGACACAGAGAGAAGGTTCTGGACTCAGTGTAGGTTTTTATCTGGAGAAAACTGACTATTAAATTCCTCTCAGAAACGTGACATTATTCAGGCTGGCAGCTCCAGACCAATTTGCATTTTGTGAATGGGTCAGGAATTTTGCGAGCGCCGTAATCAGCTGTTGCAGAGCAAAATGCCCTTGGTGGAAACAGAAAAGAGCTGCAAACTGTCAGTGTAATCAATGTGCTAACAGTAATAGGAAAATATAAAATTAAGATTTGAATTCCCATCACAAACATTACTTAGCCTGGCATCAACAACCAGGCTCTTTCTCTCTTTTTTTTTTTCTTCTTCTTCTTTTATCAGTGGAGGTCATGAAGTTTGTTAATTAAATGTTGCAGAACAAAAAATCCACTCAGAGAAAAAAACATCTGTAAAATGACAGGAATAACAAGTGAGTTTTAATTATTTATTTCTCAATACAGTGATCTGGCCTTACAACCAAGAGGTCAGGGGTTCGAGTCCCGCTGGTTACTGTTGGTCTTTCTGATTGGGTCTTCTGTACGGAGTTCAAAGTTCAAAGATGAGGATTACATTTTCTTTCAGTATTAAAATACTTCGTCCGATCAAAGTACACAGTATTCATATGGTACAAACAATACTTTTTCTGAACCCTGGGGGCACCAGTGGCCCTGAGCTCTAACCAGGTGTGAATGTTAGTGTGAATGGTTGTTTAGTTGAGTGATGACGGTGTTTCCTCCTGTGGAGCGTCACCAGACTGAGACTCTTTGTTGTTCCTCAGGACGCTGCGTCAGAATGACGAGTTCATCCCAGGGTCAAACCTTGGACGAGGTTCAGAGAATGTGACTGAACTCAGTGGTTTGTTAAACAGATTATTTTTATCTTTTGTATCAATTTTTAATTATTTAATTATTTATTAAAGCTTGTTTGTTTAAAAAAATCAGGGAAAAAATCCTTGGACTTTAGAAAACGTTCAGGGTTCCATCGTCTGTGAAAAGAAAACGTTCAGGGTTCCATCGTCTGTTGACGTGTTTTTAAGGTTCTTCAATGGTGATGGTTATGTTAACAAACTGAGCTTTGAAGAATGAGAAGAGCAGCCTGACCCTGACGGGAGAGCCTCCTGATTGGTTAAGGCCAAACGTTAGCTGTGGTTGGTGATGCACCGAAGCACAGACTGTGAGGAGACTCAGACGACAGACTGGCCACACACCACTTCACACCGCTGGCGGGTTTCTTGGACGTCCTCCTCCACTGTTGACCATTTCTGGTGCCATGGGTCACAAATTGCCCGAATTTGTTGACAGTTGTTGCTGGGAGTGCACGTTGGCGTGATCGTCTCTGAATAAAGTCCACTTCTGAGGGAGGTCTACGTTCAGTCTGCCGTGAAGAGGTCTCTCCAGCTTCTCAGGAATGAGTTAGTGAGTGACTTCCTGTCTGACTGAAGGGTGGAGGCAGTTGTTTGGTTGGTAGCCAATCAAAACTCAGCAGGCGGGTCTTTGAACTTCATCCTATATAAATGATTCTTAAAAAAACATGGATTCATTCAGTTGAAAAGTTTGACTTTATCTGAGTGTTCTGTGGTTCACCCACATCTGCTGGACTCTGTCCATGCGTGAATGTCACTGTGGACACGTCCACTCAGCCACACACTGGCACCGGTCCCGGTCAGTCTCACACCGCCCCGTGTTTGTCCCGCTCATGTAGAACCAACGTTCAGAAGCGGCTGTTGTGCAGTGCGGCGTAACTGGGGAAAAAAATTCAGTGTCAATTCAGTGTGAATTAGGTTTGAGATACAAACAAAAACGATGACTTTTCAACCAGCTGTGAGTCGAAGCTGTCAATGTGTCGTCTGTAAATGAACGAAGCAGAGAAAAGTGGTTTGGAGATATTGACTCCACTGTGAAGCTGTTACTGAGGATTCCAACCATGGACTAACAAGGTAACGGTGCCTTTCATCCAGCCTCGATGAGGCGCCAGGATGAGGCGCTGTTTAGTCGATCGATCAGTTTGGAAACAACGGTGAAAAAACAGTTTTGTTTTGGTGAGAAATGGAGCTCCGGTTCCTGGTTCTCCTGGTTAAGGTTTTAGCTTCAGCCGCTCAGTGGCTCAGTGATACGTTCAACAGCCGCTCAGTTCATAAAATGTGACTGGACAGAAGCCAAACACACCTCATCAATTCACTGCCAGTGAAGTCATTATGACTGTGGCTGAGTGGGCGTCACATCAC